TACAGCAAGGGCAGTTCTTAATCTCGATGCCGCCCACGCGCTTTTGGCAGAACACTTTCTCTACGAAACAACGTCAATGGCAAGACGAATCGAATTTGAGATCTCAACTCAAAGCATGGAAGGCTTACTCAATATTTCACGGAAGACAAACCTCAAGCTCATGAAGCATCTCTGCTTTGGTGTGGATGTCGACGCAACGTGGGGTGACCTTCCAGCCGCCGTCAGAGAGTCCATTATATGCCGCATTGTCGGCGACAAGGTTCTGATGACTCAAGATTTATGCCACTGGATGACGACTATGGATATTGATATGCGTACGAATGATTTTCTAATTGACATATGTCTCGCAATTCACGAGAAAGTGAGGGAGCGTCAAATATTGTCAAATAATCTCCTCGGCCTCGAGAAAGTGTCTGTCCTTGATTCAAGCACTGAATTGAGGTGCAGTACAATCAATAATGCTCCGCCAGCTTATACATTGCTGTCGAGGGTATTATCCTTTGTCGCATCTATTCCTACCAGCTTTACCAAGTGGGTCAGCATCCTGTCGGGCGCCGGATCAGATGTTGAGCGTGAGATATGGTATTCACTGCGACATGTCTATGGCCGAAGCCTCGTCATCTGGATCGCTCTTTCCTTCTGGAGGTTTTGCTGGGTGATGAAGAACTTATGGGTTTACATTCTATTGATCTATCATCGCAAAGCCCTAGCGAAAATCTCACGGCTGGCAAAGAAGGGTGCAACCCGAACGTTGCACAAGAATGTTATTACAGTCGAATTGCGCAGGAAGACGATAACTGGCTTTGCGTCCCGAAATTGCCAGGGATCAATTACTCTGGAGATTTTCAACGGCCAACTTTCACAAAAGCCTACCTCCAGCGATCCGTGCTCGAAGGCAGTCTATGATGATCACTTCAGACTTGCGACGCGTGAAGACCGGCTCGAAGAACATCTTGTCACTGCAACATATACCTATGCTGAGGGAAGTCATCGACGATGGCCAACGTCTAAGCATGTTACAAGCCCTCTAGAGTCCAGATGGTGCTTCTATGACAACTATGGCAGAGTTACTCAAGGAACACTGTCCATCAATGGTAATGTCTACGAATTTCAATATTCATATAAGTCCAGCCCCAAAGGCAGCCACGAGATACTTAAAGCCGAGTACCGCTTAGCGCAGAACTCGTCCCGAGGTGATGACTGCCTGACGATATACTGGGGAGTCCCTTTGAGACCAGACGTTGGCAAGATACTGGATTGGGTTCCATCTGACAGGCTGTGCCGTGTCGTAAGAAAAATCGGAGACAAGACGTATACGACGACTAGTAACTACCAACATCGCTATGATCCAGTCATGATCACAGTTCTCGAAGACGGGAACAATAAATGCACTCTTATGGCGCAGCCACCTACAATATTTAACGACGAAGATCGCCTTAAGAGCCGCCCAACTGACGTCTCCTTCATTAATGACGACCTCTTAATCCACCACAGCCAAAGTGAGCTTCAGCGTATCCAGAAGTATTCATATCGGAGCATGTCTATACTCTCGCTCTTGAATCCTGCTGCCTGGTTCTATTGGCGACGTAAGGTCGTGCATCAAAGGGTTCCAACATGGTGGCTGAGAACAGAGTTGTGGAATAATTGGCTCAAGAGTGGATCACTTGATGGTGTTACTGCTTGCTGGCTCGACGAGATCATTCTTCGCGAAGAACCTTTACTGAAGAAATATTGGAGTGCGCGTAATATGGGTCGTCTCTCGATTGCCAAGGATGAACTTGATGCCAACATTAGCCAAATTGTGGCTGCCATTGAGCTCGACAAGGATGTATCGGAAGTTTGCCTCTTACCTATCAAAGCATCAGATCTCTATGCTATGGGCTTAGGAAAGGATGCAAACCAAATGACTACCCGTCCTCAAGATTGCTTCCAAGACACGACTGACCGTATCTCGGTCATTTTCAACGACATTGGCTGTTGGCCAGAATCACCTGGTGGCGTTTCAAACTGTAGGCGGGATCTTGTCAATGGACATAGCACGATCCGAAATCACGTCCTCGCTGAATCTGCCAACGAGTATGGCATTCCTCGTTTTCAAATTGAGAAGAATGTTCAGTCACTCAAAATCCTACCACTGTGGGGTCTGGATCGTAAAACACCTAACCATGGCGTGATCGACAACCTGCTACAATCAGAAGTGGACGAGAAGATTAGCAATACCGCCGTCAGACGTGACATAGTTGGTACATTTGTGCCACTTCTTAAGATGTTCGTTCTTGGTTCTCGATCAAAGCAAATATCAAGGAAAGACCTTGTCAAGTACAGCAATGCCATGCTCACAATGTTTGAATATTTCGAACATAAGGATTATAATGAAACATGGAATTCTAAGGAAGTGGCTTCTGCCTGGGTTGAAGCATGGCTAACTCCATACAATGATCCAAACATTGTGGAGTTTTCTAATAGCTTTGAGTTGGAGCGCCCCACGATGTCCGATTTTAGAGACGCGCTTAACATCTACGTCTCCTATTTCTTCATTTTTTCGGTGCAAACTCCGGACGATTGTCCAAAGGTGTTTCAGAGCACGCACCACGGAATCAGTAGTCTGTTTGGCATGCTGTTGAAATACCGAAGGGGCGCCACCTTTGGTATTTGGGACCACGCCATACTTTGGCGGGAGTGTTGTCTCAATATCAGCCCTGCACAATGCCAGCTACCGATTCCAGTCCAATCTATGCTGCTTGCAGGTATTGGCCTTGCCACACGATTGGCCTACTTCCATGCTGATGTTGTCTTACCGTGCACTCCGTTTTTTAATCCCATCTGGGAAGCCGAAATCGGTACCGATCGGGGTCGGCTAGGAAGCAAGAAACAGTTCATTCGCAAGATTGATCCAATTGTCAATGGCGTTAGCAATATGGATTCCTTCCAGCCTGTCGAGCAGGTTCGCTCAGAAACACCAACTGTTGTGATGCTATCCAACGTCCAGTTCATCAAAGATATCAAGACAGCAATCCTTTCAGCCGATATAATCATAAATAAGTTTGGCTTCAAGGATTACAATCTGATGATTTACGGCTCTAAAGACCGGGAACCCTCATACGCTATCGACATGGGAAAGCTCATTGACCAATGTAACCTATCAGACAAGGTGGTTTTGGCCGGCTTTGGCAATCCCCAAGAGGTCCTCAAAGATGCCTGGTTGTTTATGAATTCCTCATTGTCGGAAGGACTTCCACTCGCAATTGCCGAGGCAGCTTTGGCTGGTGTGCCGATTGTGGCTACGGCAGTAGGTGCCACTGCACTGGTTCTTACCGATCCCGATGACACGGAGCAAAAGTATGGGGAGGTGGTTCCGCCTAACGATCCTATGGCGCTAGCAAGGGCGCAAATTAGCATGTTATCCATGGCTGGGCCATGGTCAAAGTTCACTGGCGAAGTAGGCAAACGCCAATCTGTGCCACCCAGTCTCACCGTTCCAGAGGTCCTTGGAGAACATGAAGTGCATTGGCTTACACGTCGTATGTATGAGAAAACTGAAGATCGACGTAAACTTGGCATGCTGTCGAGGCAGACGGTGCTGCGTGGGTTTCATGGCAAACGGTATTTACGAGAGCATGAACAAATGTACTGGATTCAGTGGCATTTGGCTCGCATGCGCAAGAACCCGGAATTGGCGATGTCTCCTCACTCGCTACTCTGCTTTGGCGCACAAATCCCCCTTCGCTACGCAGACGGAACTAGCGAGCAATGCACCTACGACCTCCTGCCTGATGTTTTGCAAAAAGATGAAGGGTCTCATTTGGTGCAACAGACCAAGGATGCTCGGTGGCAGGACTTCCCCTCCAATGAGTATACAGGGAAAAGACTCAGCAAGCAAAGGGTTGAAGAGCGGTCAATTTCCCTAATATCTACCGTATGACATATATATATTACGAGTCTAATGTGTTGTTTTCTATTTCGTAGTGCACTCAACAACTGATACCCAGGGCTTGCTCGTCCGGAGTCTAGACCATCACCTTACGGCCGTGCACCTTGTGGCTTCGCCAGCAATGCGCCTCTTCATTAAGAGAGCGCCAACCATTCCACGGTCAGCCGGAAGTATATGTAATGACATCAACACTATTTAGGCTGTATGCTTTCTGTTCAAACAAACCCATGTGGGCTGCACCTTATGATGGGAGCTGGATACGACCCCAGCTCAATCCTTCAGTGTTTTTCGGTCAGCGCCGAATGTCAGACATGTGCTTCACATCGCAGCGAGCGGTTAAGTTTGCTCTGCATCAAAACAAATATTTGTGCATCCATTGTACCACCTCAAAGCTCTAAGAAATCTACCTCTTCAAAGTCATTGTCTCGTGCTGCTCTAGATACAACATATGCGCTTCCTCCGTGGCCTGGAAAAGCGGTGTCTTTCACGAGCTTTCGCGCTGACACGCGAGTACCTCGTGATGACCGCTATAAATAAAATTTAGGTTACGAACCGGCTCACATTCCAGGGAATGTGGCCGATTCGATCTAGGCCAGTCCATTCCCCCACACGCGATTCCATCGGCAGTGCAATACGAGCTTCGTCCAACGGCCCATTAATGCCAGCCCCGCTAAGGCCGCCGCCTAGCATAGCTTCGGCTCTGAACTCTCAGCGCCCTTTCACCAGCTGACCGTCCTACATACGAAGGAAAGTAACCTTGGTGTAGTAATAGAATCTCAAGGCTACCGAATGGGCACAATGAGACGTTGCAAACCGAGCGAGGTAAGACGGATTCGCCTCTTCGGGAGGCTGGGTATCGAGGGCGCAAACATATCGAGATCCTATACACAAGACAGGTGATCCTGATGTAAATCTGTATATATAGCAGAGGATTCGCCTCATCAATAATCATTCCAGAGTCATCAATACCAAATATCTCAAGATAATTCAAAGCCAGTCATTACTTCTCTTCCAATAGAACTTTATCAGACCTCGTCGTTCTATACCCATACCATCACAAGCAATCATCATGAAGTTCAGCATCGCTCTTCTCGCTGCCGCCATCACTGGCTCTGCTTTTGCCGCTCCCACCAAGAGAGCTGACCCCAATTGGACTATCGAGTCCATGAAGAGAACCTGCAACTCCGCAAATACTCAGTGTGTTTGGGACTTCGGCATCAACACTCACCTCGCTCCAACGACGCATTGCACGTTTACCGTCAAAGGCACAAAAGCGTCACAATTGCCCGGCACGGGTGCCGCTTGCGGTGCCTATACGGTCACATCCGGATGGAGCGGCCAATTCGGCGCTGGCAATGGTTTCACAACCCTAGCAGTCGTCGACAATACCAAGCACCTCATTACCTGGCCGGCTTACACCGATAAGCAGCTCGTCAACGGCGTTGCTGTAAAGCCTGACCAGAGCTATCCGCCAACAAAGCTCTAATCGTCTCCCAACCGCGAGATGAACAAGCCAATTTGAGTCCCAGCTTGCATGTATAAAGAGGTTGCATTGGGAAGGAAAATTTAGTTTATGAAACATCATGTACTACTCAACAATGTATTTAATTAAACATAATGCGAAACATTGCCACATTGTTGCGGTACTGAGCTTATAGTGTGGTGATATATGTGACATATGTTGAGCTTGAGCGACGTACCTACTGCATAGCTTGTCACAGAGCATACAAACAATGAATACAGATCATAAAACTAGCTGAAATCTCGTGGAAAGTCAACCGTGTATTGTTGCAACTTCAATCCTGAGGTCCGTCGCTTTGCGGTTTAACTCTCCACCAACCTCTCTGTCTTGCTCCCCAGCTCCAGTGTTTCATTGGTTCATGTGCCAAGTCCTGCATGTCCTTGATTATCCACTGCTCCGGGCCTACGGAAATGATGCCATGATCAACAGCTCTACGTGCAAATTTGACCGATGTCATGTTATCCCCAACGCTGTTCCATTGAACTGCAGCATGAAAATATGCCTGATGCACCTTCACTCGAATGCCTTCAAGCTCAAATAACTCAGCCATAAGCTCGGCTTGCTTCGGCGAGCTAGCATCAGTTCTGGTATAATCCTCTACTTGTTGTCGTAGTAGAGCAATCTGATTCAATCGGGAATCTGACTCTTGAGTGACGTGTGAGGGTGCACTACAATGATGACACGTGCAGTCGAAGCCCCAGATACTCTTTAATCTGTCTTTTCTCTGGTCTCTCGTGAGTAGAGAGCTAGAGTACGCTTAGTATATGAAGTAAGAATTATTGTGTATGCTACTCACTCCACGTAGGTGATTGTTATCTCCTCGCCTGGGTAAATATCTCGGTTTGCATAAATGCGGTGAGAGAACGTCTGATAGTCGAAATAATAGTTGCTATTAGGCCGGCAATCATGATTGATTCGCGACACTATGGCTCGTCTTTAGTAAACATTTCAGAATCCCGAAAAGCCGCAAAAACTGTGCTGATTTATATACCTTCTAGAAACGTGGCACAAAATGTCTGCACCGCATCGTGACTATCCCTGACTTGTATGTTGAACGAGTTGCTCAACATGATTCCCCGGATCTTGTCGGTGGGGTTATCCACTGGTATATGGGTTGACAAATTGAGATACGCATTCTGGTGAGATGAAGGCAAGTTTGCGAAAGCCTCTGGGAACAGTGTATCAACCACAAGGACGTCGTTAATTATCCTCTCATCCGCAAGGAAGGAGGGTTTCCGATTCATTATCATTTCACCACGACGGATAATGCGATCAGATACGAGACCCACGCCTTTGCCCGGGATCTCTTCATCATGATAACGAGGATCAGTATCGCCTAGTTGAGTGATCTGTGAATCTGATTCAAAGGAGGACCAAATTGGTAATTCTGCTAGCGTTGCTGCCACTTCTTGAGTAGTAATTATCGTTATACCTTCCCCATCATTGAAAGAGTTGCTAGAGAAAACACAGAATGTAGTTCCTTTGGTGTCACTGCAGTGACCCGGCTCGTTCCATGGTGTGGTCAAATTCTGCTTAGTGCCGAGGCTCGCAGTGTCCGACAGAAGATCGCTCAAAGGTAGTTCACCGGCTCTGTCACTAGTAGCACAGCTGATACTAGCAAAGGCTATTAAATGGATGGAAAAAATATTCATTATGCAATACTTTGCGCAGGATGTTGTCAAGGTATTGGAAAGTAGAGTTTTAAACCTCGCGGCGGAAAAGAGGTCTATCTGATACACAGTCAGGGGCTATAAATGGTCAAATCGGATTAGCGCCCCTGCAAGGTTCCCTGCGCTCGACGTTTCAGTGCTGCCAAGGCCTAACAATATTGACTCTATGATGTGAAACGCACCGTGAAAGATTAGAACCGATGATACCAGATATCTGAACGTCGGCGCACAACACGCACAGTTGAATTGTCCTTTGAATATGATATTTACTTACACTAGGTCACTAGCAAATGACTGGCTTCTGACGTCCAGTCAAAGCATGTTTTGGATATAACTCGCCTTGAATCCATGGAACAGATCACTAGCAAATGGAATCCCCCACTTGCATTTATGATATTCGCGCCATATGATTGCATGCCGCGTCGCTGATGAATCCCGCAATCTTAATGCAATCGACGTGAAGATCACGGAGTATTCGGCTATTTAGACGTCTTTCGCTCTTGATATAGTGGGCCCCCTTGCTGCCTATCCTTTACAAACTTTTGGATCTCATTTAAGTCTTTACACGTATGTACCTGGTCGGCGTCGATATAATTATGTCCTATGCCCTGATAGTATCTTGTGGGTATGAGGGCTGTGCTACCGTAACAGGCAATAGACTGCCGGACGATGTCAAGGCAGTGGTCTGTCTCACATTAGTCGATGCTCTCATCAGCATTCTATTACATACCTAAGTGAAGCGGGCCATGTAATTGAGTGAAAGGATAACGATCTGGATATAGAGCTCGACGAATGAAATCCTGGTATCAGTAAGATTGATGACACTTGACAAAGGCAGTACTGGTTAATTGGACCTACTACGCAGTGCAATGTATGAAACACGTCTAGTCTAGAAAGAGAGTCAGCTCATCTAAATAATCGGACCAGAATTTCCCAAACCATACCCTGCTGTATACCCACCCTCAACGCCATCGTAGTAATCTTCGTAATTGTCCCCAAATGCAGCCCTTGCTTCTGCCTCAGATATTGAAAATCCAAAAGGGTCCCAGAGTCTGAACCATGCATTATCCAGTTCCTCTGTCGGTTGTCCCACGTAAGTCTCATTTTCTGGCCAGGCCATACCTTGAGGTCGCTCTGGGATCCAAGCAGTGCCGTTAGTATAGAAATGCGGTGAGCCACTGAAACGGACTTGACGGAGTCTTGGTTGAAAAGGCAATACTGTATAGTGGTCAATGACATCTTATAGCGGGTGGGAAGGTTTGTATGTACTGTTGAATTCTTTTGCGCTGGGTCTGAGTGCCTCGTTCAAGGGGAAGATATAGCGGCCAACAAGAAATGAGACGATTGATGAGCAACAGATCACAAGCACCAGAAGTGTATGCCGTCTTCTTGATCCTGGCTTGTACGGCACTGACTCAGAGGCTCCTCCCTCGGCAAGACAAGGTAAACTCTCCTCCGAGAAAGAAGGAGTCCTTGAGGGCTTGCCCATGGCCGACAACTAATCCCTTCTCTTCATATATTCGACCGTTCTCGAAGATATTCAAAGTTTCGTGGCAACGTGTCACTGAGAAGGAAAAAGAGTCAAGATAATAGAAGCGAGAAGAAATGGGGAATGATTGGCTGCTGGGCTCTTTGTCAATTATATCTAGAACATGGCATGTAATGTAAAAGCCCCTGCACTCGGAACTGGTGCTAACATTCCATATGAATATGCGGTAGCTGCCGGTTGACTCAGTGAAATTATCAAGGTACAGTATCTCGAGAGTATTAAGCAAACTCTATAGTCTTTGAGACATGCTAGCGAACCTTGAATGTCTCAAAGTTCTCGTGCTTGTTATGTGGGCACAGTCTTTGCCAGTATGCTAGCATAGATCGATCTCATCGTACATTAAACTTCCTATGTTTAAGGTGGTTCAGTGTTCCTCAAGTAATGACGTACGCGGAGCCATTGCAACATTCCAGTCGAGACGGTGAAACAACAGTGTTAGAAAGTGACAGTACAAACTATTTTACCTTTTGAGATATTTTTCTCCATCAAACGGTGCGCCTTCTGCACTTCTTCCCACGCAAATGCCTTTTCAATCAGCACTCTCAAATTCCCAGATTCGAAGCCAGAAATATTTTCTTTCAGAGCATCTATGAGACCGGCTTGATAGTCTTCACTCCGGCTGCGCAGCGACGTCGCCTCGATCCTCATCCTTTTGAAGAGCCAGGGGCCATAGTCCAGCTCCTCGAGCTTCCATCCTCCCAAAGCGCCGACCATGACAAAACGGGAGTCCATTGCCCCGACCTTCAAGTTTTGCGCGAAGTATGGCGCCCCGACAAAGTCGAGAATGATGTCTACGCCTTGACCTCCCGTTGCTTTTAGTACCTCGTCAGCCCAGTCCACACCTTCAGCTCTGTAGTTGAACGCGGCATCCACGCCAAGGTCTTGTTTGAGAAATTGGCACTTGTCGTCATTCCCTGTCGTAGCCAGCACCAAACTTGCTCCCAAGGCTCGACTCAGCTGGATGCCTGCAATAGAAACGCTCGATGCACCAGCGTGCCACAGCACACGCTTGCCAGCGGCCATCTCTCCGATGCTTAGCGCCTGCCATGCAGTAATCCATGCTTCTGGAATGGCTGCTGCCTGTACCCATGACAAGGTTTCCGGCTTGTGAATAATCATGCGCGTGCTGGCGGCAATAAACTCGGCGTATGCACCGCCATAAGCGAGGCCGAACACTTCATCTCCAATCGTGAAACCATTAGTTTGGCCATCGCTTCCGAATGATTCAACAATACCAGAGAACTCGACGCCGAGAGTCTTGGGGATGTCGGGACGCAGTGGATATTTGCCCTCGCGCTGACCAATGTCCATACGGTTGATGCCAAAGGCCTTGACCTTGACGATGCACCAACCTTCAGGTGCTGTCGGTTTAGGGACGGAATCGTTGATGAATAAAGCTTCGGCAGGGCCTGCGCCGTCTTTTACATCTACCGCATCATTCAGTGAGTAATTGTACACGCTTCACGATAGCAACATGCCATAGGAATTCATGGAGAGATTTTACTCACCGATTGCCTTCATTGTTGTCCAAGAGGTTCGTATTCAACATTTCTTGTCGACCTCAAGGTCTATAATGACGGTGCCTTATGCCCATTTTTAATGCTTTTAGGATTGCCTGGACTCCTTTTGCTTATAAATCGGCATGCACACTAGGTCCAAGTATTAATCCTTTCTGCCTTCAATAGGCCTTATATCTGGCTGGAACCTTCCTTGATTCTAATATTTTATGTCCGTTTCCCTCAGCGATCATACGGCAAGTGAAGCAATAATTCCGAACTCCGTTTGCTATGACCATTTCTACGAATTAACCAAGACACTATGCCTCTTCGAATAGGCATTTCAAGAAACCCCAGCCTGAATCTCAGACATGGGGAGTTTGTTTGCTTGGTTAGTCTGTCCTAGTGTCGGCGGAGTTCAAACAGTCACTCGTACTCTACCGACGGGGCGGCTGCACTCCGAGCCCAATCCCTGTCGAACATGAACTAAACTTCATATGAAGCATACCAAGGCGTTATGAGAACACTGTTTGGAGTCGAATAGAAGTAGAAGGCATTGACGAGTGATTGGACCATAAATTAAGCAGAGATGATTATCGTTGTATGTCGCCTTGTTGAACATGGAGTAGCTAGATGTAACCAGCTTCTACAACTGTTTGGCCATAACCCGCTGTGTACAAAGATTTTTCTTCGACAACAGCTATAAGCATTCGGTCCTGGTGGGTGAAAATGTGCATATAGGCAAGCGGCATAATCCAGCCTGAGCAGCGTCCGAACTAGACATAATAGTTCTTTATGTCATCTGTCGATTACAAAGTACCGAACGCGGCAATGGATGCGTAGGGCTTAGCTGGCCGGCCCCGCTCGTCTTGCAGCTCGCAGTGATGGCCGGGCTTCTGGTCCAAGTACACTGCCGCATTTACACAGCTCGAAATGTGGAGGCGCAAAGGTGATTGTCAAGCGAACATGGGCACACGTGAATGCTGCGGTACATTGTATCACCCGAACAAAATGATCTCTGGAACATCGGGGATCATTACGCTTGGCTATTCGATAATCATTGAGCCATTGTACCAGTCTCGCGCTCTGATAGGAGAGGGGCGAGGCTTGAACTACCAACTCAGCCACCTGAAGCCACACGCTACGTCCACTGTTGCACAGTACGCTGACGTAGTAAGGGCGTGCCGGCTTCCGGGCCATTGGAAGCTTGAGCCATTGTAAATCATCGCCAGCATCCGCGAAAGTCCACTTACAACTTAACAGGGCACGATCATTTCGTCCTCGCACATCACATCGAGCAGCAACAGTATGGAAGCGGCTCACCAAGCCAACGGTGAGGAGCCGCCACCGCCGTATGAGGAGCGCCCTCCCCCGCGACTGCCCGTCCCTAACAAGAGCACACAGCAAGTACCAGCACCACTGCCAGCACCAGCGTCAGCTCCTCAGCAAGCCGGGCGCTCGACGGCACCACAAGTGAACAGGCAGTTCCCACCTACCTTCAACCTCTATCGAAAAGGGGGCTTCTCCCGCATTCACACTCTCGGCGTGCATCAAGACCAGCCGCTCTATGCAGTCTATCCCCACGGCGGGTTCTCGAGCGAGCCGGACCTGGTTCTTCACAACGGGCCCAGCGAGACCTCGCCCCCACTGGCAACCCTAATATTCGATTCATGGCATCGCCAGATGGAGGTCACGCTGCCGCCACTGCGAGGCGCAACTTCCGAAGAAGCCGTGCGCATGCCTGGCTTTGCTCATCCCGTCTTCGAGTTCAAGGTGCATGTGAATAAGCCCGGCGGACAAGGGCTCGTTTACGAAGCCTTTGAGTGGAGACGGAGCCGCGGTGACGCTGTCGGCCAGCTCGGCGGACGCTCGTACGGCTGGAAGCTGGTGAGATTGGCAAACAATGTGCTCCCGGGAGCTGGCGGAGGCGAGATCACCAGCGATGGTCGAGAGGTGCTTGCGGTCTGCACGCAAAACGCTTACAGCATGAGCAAGGTATGGAAGTTCGAGTTTACTGGCACAGGTGCATCGGGGGCCTTGGGCGAGAGATTCGCTGTCATGGCGGTCATTACCTCTTTGGGGATTTGGCTTCGAGAGAGCAGGCGAAAGAACTCAAGTGCATCTAGCGGTGGCTCCGCGTAGATGTGCATCATGGCTTGGGATGCAGAAAGAGTCGGAGGGAAATAGCATTGACGTCATTGCAATGATTGCATGCGATTGGACCTGGGAGGGCTTGTGAAGTCCTATTAATGAAGATACCACTGATTTCTGTTTTGTACTCTTATTGCGAACACTTGAACAACACCAGGAATCGACCTTCTGTTCAATTTACGGTTAGGTTCTCATTCGTGCACTTTCTGAGAGTTCGGAGCCTCGCTCCGCGGTGGAGCGCCCCTCAATGTCAAACCGCCAGCCCCAACCCCTGGGAACCCGGGTTCCAGGTCTTACTTGATGCGGGCAGTCTTTCCTCTGCCTCCGAGGTGTGTTGCAACCCCGGATTTGCTCTGCGGGTGTAGCATTGCCCTGTCACGGCCCGTCGAAGCGTGAAGCACCTTCTTTCTCGGCGCCTCCCACCTTCCGCAGTGTAACAGTGATCCAAGTTCCGGGGCAGATGGTCTCCTATGCCAACTATATCGATTGGATCAACCTTCGCCAGCTGACATTTAGGAGCGTCTGCAATTTATGTTACGCATCCCTTCGAGCGCTTCGATCATGGAAGTCGCTCCGGGTTGTGGACGGCCGGGGTTGGCTCGGTAGACTATAAGACGCTCAGATCCGGATACCTGGTCATCTATTTGTTCATAGACTTCAAGGCACTTGGTGCGACCGCTCTTGATTTCCACTGACCAGCCGCTTGTCGCGGCCTTCTGTGCTCGCAGTTCTCAAAATGAAGGCATCCTTCCTGTCGTGGCTCGCGGCACAACTTGCCTTGGCCAGGGCAGGGACTGTTCTCTGGGATGGGCGGTTCAATGACCTCACTTCATCGACCGACCTCAACAACTGGTCATGGTCTAATCAGGTTGGACCGTACCAGTACTACATCCACGGCAGTGGAGCCGTGACCGACTATGTCAACCTATCCCCCAGCTACAAGAACCCAGCCGACACGTCGTCCAAGCAAGGCGTCAAGATTACATTGACCTCAACCGCCTACTGGAACGGCCAGAACATGAGACGGACGGAATTGATCCCCCAGACAAGCGCAGCCATCAATTCCGGCAAGGTATACTACCATTTCAGCATCAAGCGCTCCGACACCAATGCGCCGAGCATCTACCGCGAGCACCAGATCGCCTTCTTCGAGAGCCACTTCACCGAGTTGAAGGGCGGCTGGATTAGCGGCGAGGCGGCCACGAGCGACACGAAGCTGCAGTGGATGGTAGGCGGTGTGAGCAAATGGAGCGTCGAGTGGGCAGCCGATGTGTGGCACAACTGCGTCTACGAGATCGACTTCTCGGCCAACACGGTGGGCTTCTGGCACTCGACCGGCGCCGACGCCGTGGTGCAGGTCGTGGCACCGATCAGTGCAAGCACCAGCAGCAACGGCGCCGATTGGCACTTGGGCGTGCTGGAGCTGCCGCGTGACGGGTATGCGGACACTGACGAGGATCTTTACTTCTCGGGCGTCTACGTCGAGAGCGGAAGCCTGACTACCAGCGTTTCTGGGCCAGGAGGTATGTCCTGAAATTATATGCTGCAGAAAGCAGAAAATGGACCATGGCACTAAAATCGCTTATAGGATCCACTGGTGGTACGACCACAGGAAGTACCCCATCATCCACCAGTTCCAAGCCGACAACTCTGTCAACTTCGACCGTTGTCGTGACATCGTCTACTTCTGTTAAGACTACCAGCACGTCGTCGGCGGCAGCCAGCTCCTCATCAGTTTCAAGCTGCACTGCTGCTCAGTGGGCGCAATGTGGCGGCACCGGCTTCTCGGGTTGCACCACCTGTGCCTCGCCGTATACATGTAAATACTCAAATGCGTACTACTCTCAGTGCCTATAAATGGAATATATCGAAGGATCATAAGCGTTTAAGCTGAGGATTATGATATACTGTATATATCTGCTTCTTGTCAATACTTAGAAAGAACTGGAACTTATCCTACTTTTCGTCAACTTTGCCAATTGTATCGCGTTGGCGCGCCTTTGCCAGAAGAGGTATCTTTTTTCGTTTTCTGTGCCGCACCGGGCATCGATCCAAGCACCTCAGGCGCTACACTTGCCAGGGAACGCCACTGTTCGGTGTCGTCAGCACCTTGCACTCTGGAAACAACCCGAAACAGTCTTTCCTGAAAGGGCTGTATAGGTATAGCGGGTAGGATCCGCTTCCCGCGTTATAAGCCATAGATTATCAACGGAATGACGGAGCTCGCATGCTTTGGTCTTCGGGAGATTCCATTCTTCCCATGGCGCATGGATAGACCAGACTCGCCGGAATTAGCGGCGACGCCCGCACCTTGTCTCCGAACTTTGTCCATGTTGAAAGATGCCGAACGGGCAGAAGTGGAGCATCATGGCGGTCATTAGCGGAGCTATACGGTACACGCTCATGATGAAATACCCCAAATACGGGCGTTTGTCCCTTTTAACGAGTCCTGATGCTTTTAGCATGGAAGCAAAGAGGAACAACCAGTCAATTGCAACTTAGAAACGCGAAAATGACATCCAAACTCCACCAGACCGCAAAACAATTCCTTGATCAGTTTGGAACGCTTGATGTCCAAGCACTCGAGTCCATTCTAGCGGACAATTATTACCATGAGTTCGCCCCAGCATCAATAAACCCACCCGGCCCATTTGATAGGCCGGGCTTCCTCAATCATCACGGTACCATTCGCGACATTATGATCGGGTTCCCCGTAGCTGCCAAAGAATACATCGTGAGCGAGGCCAGCAGACAAGTCACAGTATGGGCGACGGCCGAGACCGTCTTTCGTGACGAGGCCAAGGATGGCGAGGTTTCGGAGGAGGAATGGCGGTATAAAGGGGAGTACGTCTTCATGTTTACCATGGACGAGTCGGGCGAGAAGATCACGCGCACGATCGAGTTTCTCGATAGCAAAGCCACGGCTGACAAGCTGATGGGTCTCATGAAACGCGCACGAGAGAACAAGCAGAAGAAATTAGCAGCAGAGATGAAGTAATCACCATGCTAAGATTTAATTTTCTGACAATGTCAGTCAGCTTCAGGACCATGATGAAGACATATTCAATATACGCCCTGCGTGAATCGAGTACTCTGACGGTGAAATGGCAAGTACACCTGAAAAGATCAAAGCTGATCCAGTGATGAGAGCCTGTAGTCTTTGAAATGATCAGTGTCTTTTGAACGTCTTCAAGTGATTCTATAAATTTAATAGATTTCGAATGGTAAAAACGGTTGGTCTAATATAAATAGCCTATTTTATTTGATCTGGCATATTTCTCGACCAATTGACTAAGCTTATTTTGTCACAAAGTATCATGACAGCCCGGAGGAGACAATGAGCTCTATAATCTATGCCTTATTCGCTGACTCCATTCTTTCTTGATCTGCCCTCATCCGCCTTATCAATTGACTTTGTTCTCGAATTCGTCCACCCCAGAAGTAGAAAATAAATGGAATAGGCGCCAGAAGAACTTCCAGTCCTCCCATAAGTGTCCCAGCATATCGGAGTGTCAAGGACGAATACATAGTAGGACCCGCCAAAGGCAATACACCCGCAAGAACACATCTGATGACGCCATTACCAGCGAGCGCGCTCGCTGCATAGATTCCATAGGCGCCAGCAATGTAGTTACTGACATAGATAAAAGTAGCAGACTGCCCAGCCCCGAAAGGAATTCCTGCCAGGATTGGCCAAATCCAATGAATGGTGTTTGGTATGCAGGTCCAAGCAAACCAGAGTTGTCCGATAGGGACCAATACCGCTCCCACGCACACTATGCATAAAGTGGCTTCTGGCTGAACATGACCCGTTTTCGCATCCTTGGAGTGTAGGCTGACGATGTGCCGGACGAGAGGCTCGCTGCATATTGCGACGATATTGCCAAAGCCAACGCCAATGAATGCGAGGCCGGACATGCCGGGATTCCAACCACGATTCTCACTCAAGACGAGGGGATAGGCTACGAAACAAAGATACAAAATCGCGTAGAATGCACCCACGTACAGGTCCCAGAACCAGAGAATGGGTTCTCTGAAAGTTAGAGAGAACGGTCTTGGCAGACTAACCTTCAGCATAGAGGCAATAGACAATGGGTCATCGTATCGACACCACCACCTGTCATCACCAGTTTGCCTGCGCTTTGTTAGTACCTCATCCCTCAAAATCTTCGGCGCATAGGTTTCGGGTGTCCACAGTAGTAGAAGAAAACCACTCCCGGCTAGAATCAAAACCAGCCAGTTGGTCCATCGCCATCCTAAGTACTGGTAGACGAAGCCGCCAATAAGTGGTCCAGTGACAGGACCGTTGATGGGCCCAATAGACCATATACTGAAAGCCAGCGCACGTGTGTCTTCTTGCGAGATATCGGTAATGGTCCCAGGACTATTTGCTATCATTGCGGCGCCAAAACAAGCTCTGTACAAAGTTGATAACGTCAGCTTTGACCCTTATAGAAGGCTACAAAGTCAGAGTAGGGTAGGAGACAAATAGAAAGAATTGACTTTAAACAGTATAACGTACCCGAAGAATCTCGCAAGAATAATTTCTGTCAGTGACCTCGCTAACGCGCAGGGAAGGACAAGTAAGAAGAATAGTCCGTAAGATATCATGTAGACCATCCTTCGTCCATATATCTCGCTCAAAGGAGCTAGCATTGAGAAGCCCACTGCTAAACCGAGCATATAGCTGGTCAGCCCCAGAGTTGCCAGTGTCTTGCTACTGATCTCAAACTCATCCATCATCCCGGTCAATCCCGCGGTGTATGAAGAGGAGTAGAATACCACAACCCAGGTTGTAAAAGAGATGACTGAGATGATGTAGCTGCGTTTTAGGGGTGGCCAGGCTTTTGGATTCTCGGGATCATCTTCATCAAAGTCAATCTCGAAGTTGAAAGACCGCAAATCGGCATCATTGATTGAGGCTTCCAAGGTATTTTTTTGCAAGGGACATACTATAGATTTGGTGACGCTTTCGTTTCTGTCAGGGGTAAAGATAGAACTTATTGGTGACGCCTCGTCATTTTTTAAGACAGAGAGGGGATTCATCTGATGCTGCGTAAAGGTGTCTACATTGTCGTTTGGAAAACCACTTAAGGGATTTGTCTTGGTCCCGTTCTCGGGAGCTGGTCGGAAATGTTGCATCACTTTCTCCATATTGGCAAGTATTGTTGTAATGACCACGCAAGCAGGAACATGACGATTTTGCATGCCAAAGAATTCTTTGAAAAATTACTGTTATAGGGGTTTTATATGATCTCAAAGACTCAGCTTTGGCTATTGGATTTGTGCTCGGCTTTAAAAGTGGTGTGGGTTTCAAATAGGGTTCGGGTTAGCTGGTCTGTTCGGGATACACCACTTTGATATTTTCACCTTCTTAGGCCTGTGAAAACTTCTCAAACACAGATGATTCATCCTATTACATATTCAGTGATTGTAGGAGACACACTGAGGGGGCCATCAAAGATTAACGAAGATGGGTTCCTTATCGGAAACCTTGTTTTGCTCGCTCCCGCAGGTCGAGACCGACGAGATCTTTGACTTGATGGCGGCCTTCCGACGGGATACGCATCCAGATCGAGTGAATCTAGGGGCAGGAGTATACTGCTCTAATGAAGGCCTTTCACAGCCTCTCAAAGTTGTTGCACAGGCGGAGAAAATCTTGACTGAACAGAACGACATCAACCGACATGACTACAGGCCCATTAGGGGTGACCCGGAGTTTCTCGATCTCGCCCGAGAACTCACCTTCTCAAATCAAGGCAACATTTCGTACACTGAACCAAGTGCTACAGAATCTCGGGTCATATCCGTTCAGACCATATCAGGGACAGGCGCTAATCACATAGGCGCGCGTTTTCTAGCTGAAAATATGCGGCCACGCTGCGTATGGCTCTCAGATCCCACTTGGGGAAATCACAATTTGATATGGGACACTGTCGGTGTCGCTCAGCGGAAATATCCGTATTACAGAAAATCGAACTGTGAATTTGATTTCGTTGGTATGATGGCAGTGTTAAACAAGGAGGCCCGGCCCCATGATATTATCGTTCTCCATGCCTGCGCACACAATCCCACTGGCATGGACCCATCTCGAGAACAATGGATTGCAATAGCAGAGCTTTGCCAGAGGAAACAGCTGTTCCCTTTCTTTGATAGTGCATATCAGGGGTTCGCGTCTGGTGACACCGATCAGGATGCTTGGGCCATACGTTACTTTTATCAGCTACAGCACCCCATCGAGATGTGTGTAGCTCAATCATTCTCAAAAAACTTCGGTCTTTATGGACAAAGAGCCGGGGCTTTTCACCTCGTTGTCAATAGCCATTCAGCCTCGACGAACGAAAACATCCTCAACAATCTATGCCAGCTCATCCGTTCGGAATATTCAGTGTCGCCAAGATTCGGGTCTGATATCGTCAAAACAGTCTTCAAGAATAAAGACTTAACCGCTGGGTGGCATTCTGAGCTGAAGGAAATGAGTGCCCGCTTGATCTTGATGAGACAGAGATTATATGACGAAATTTGTCGTCTGCAAACTCCTGGGTCGTGGGAACACATTATAAATCAGGTCCGTTGACTTTTTTGCCCAAGTACACTAGCAGCTGGCACTAATGTTTCCAAAGACTGGCATGTTTTCCTACACCGGACTTACATGTCTGGAAGTGGAAGTCTTGCAAAAAAGATATCACATCTACATGCATTCTTCAGGACGAATTTCAATTGCAGGCTGTAAGCTCAAACCACCAGGCCCCTCCTCAAGTTAAAGCTAATGTATTTTAGTGAATACCAACAATGTGCAGTACGTTGCTGCTGCTATCAGTGCTGTGAGAGCCAAGTCAATAGATAAATAGCTATTGTCTTTAGGTCGCCCGGTGTACAGAGGAAGTATTGCGCGGATGATTCAATCCTGTATTGACAACCAGGCGGCTTAGTTTCCCCAAGACTCACATGAATAACTCAGAGAACACGAGAAGTAATATTTTAATATAGAGGCACAATGTATGTTATTTGATCAATTACATAGACTGTATATTGCTTAGAATCCCGAAGGTAGACTCAATGGAAACCTCCCAATCGCTTTGCTCCATTTCACCATCGGTCTGGCTCATTACCCATGATGAATGATGTCAAGTATTCCTCGCCAAGTAGAGCATCATTTAATCTCCAAATTTCTTCGTCGAAATCCAACACTTCTTCCACACCCGGGCCAGGAAATTCTGAGGGTTCAGTATCATACGGAAGTATATTTGGCGCAAGGGGCGCTTCAGCCATCACCCCAGGCGAACTATTAATCTGCGCATTTGTCACCTGCGGACTTAAGTCTTTGCTAGATGAAACTTGGGTGGTATATATGCTTCCGTATTCGAATACTTGATCGCCTAGAGACGTGCTTTTGTCGCCATATCTTAATTTACTAGATGCGGCACGTGCAAAAAGATGGCGAGCATCAGCCAACGTCGAGACCTAACAAAGGCATTGATTAGCAAGAATCACTTCTCAGGGAAGATAAACGTACCCAATCTTCCCCTATCTTCCATAGGTTTCCAAACTTCGTCAGATAGGTAATGAGCGTTTCGGCCCCCTTGTTAGCGTCCGGAGACCGCCCTAAATTGACGTGCGGAAAAGCTGCGACGTGAGAGAGAGTGATGGCGGCAGAGAATGCAGAGAATGCGGCTAATGGCGTCATCATTATCACATTTCCTTTATCCAGCTCGCTGAATATGTCGGCCACACTTTGCGCAGCGTGATGGAGAATTTCCGCAGAGGATTCCCACCAGCCGGGTGGAGCTTGATCTCGTAGGAACGGAGGCTCAGCAGGTCCCCCCGGCCCCGTTGCTCGGAGCGGAAGAAGAGGCACAAATTCACGATGCAAGAATATTAAACTGCTCTCATTCAAATACCTGTTTTAGCGAGGCGTGTTGGCATGGGAGAAATTGTGGATCATACCATAGATAATAGAGAAGGTTGATAAAAGCAAACGCCTCGGGATGACCTTGG